AAATTACACAAAATGTGAGCCAGACACTGCACCGCCCCCTCAGATTGTTTAAGCAGAATCCTGCACTGGGAGCCGTCCTGGTAATCGTTTTGCTCTTCTGCCTTGCTCTGCTTACTCGCCCGTGAAACGCACACCGTCAACATCAAGTGGTAAATGTGAAGCAAAGGATCAATTTCAACCATGGAGCCGACAGAGGCAAAGTACCGCTTCAAATTCCTACTTCCAAGGCGCAACATGTCGTGCAGGTTATCAAAACCAGGCGCCTTCAGGTAGGCTACAGATAATTTGTACCATTTCTCTTGCTCAATTCAGCATAATGCCATAATCTGTGTTCTTTCACAGGCAGCTGTTGTTTCTGGAGGATCAGAAGCCCATCTTGGTTGAGCTTGATTGTCAATGTACAGCAGAGGACCTCCATACAGGTGATGACGACTGTTCAGCCCGTAGTACTGGTCCCATGGTCCCCAAGTTTTCTAGTTTTCAACCAAATTGTTTATATGTTTGCCCAGTTTACAGAAGATCATGCTTCACTTTGAGCAACTGCAGTACACCTCCAGGTCGTCTATTTTATAAAAAGAAGTTAGTTTATTGCATTTGGTTGAAGTTTTTGATGGCTCTTGTTGTAAGTTTTTGTTTTTAACATTATATTTCACCGGCATGCACAACCTTGTGAATTTGTGTTATCATGACATTGTAAAAGTAAAGCACAATTAAATTTCACCCATTGATTACTTGTGCATGCATAATAATGTGCACCAAAACCACCTGGTTCTTCTAGCTTCCATGCACAAATAAAATCTCCATCTTCACAATAATCTGGGAGGTCACAATGAAATTTATTATTGACATAACCACGAAGAAACAGGTAAGATTATTGTGGATCTTTAGGGCTTGTGTAATCACAACTTTTTGTACAATGCTGTCAATGCACATAAATAAAAAAAAGTTAAATTAACATGTTAAACTTCATTTTTGATAAACATGGGACGAATGAAGAGTTTTTACAATTATTTAATTTGTGTTATTTTACGCCAACTAAAGTTTCTAAAATAGAAGTCAGTACCTTACAGCTGAATCATGTTCAGGCTCCATACTTAGGAGGCGTGCCACTTCTGATATGGAGGTTGTCCCCATGCAACCGGTCGCAGCTCCCAAAGGGGAGCGCAAGCTACAAATCAATCTGCCACCGGGATATCACTTCTCCAAGGTTCGCTCTCGTTATGGCTAAATACTAAAGGATTGTTAATGTCTGAACAACACAACAGGAAGCATCAAGCAAGTACGATGTCGATGTGGAGCCGGATGAATCCGTCAAGGTGGATCCAGCAAGCGGAATTTTCAACGAGGGCCAAACAACTTTGCGATTCGAGAACCTCGTGAAGTAATAAACGTGTCTGCTGATTTGTGATATGGCTAGCCAATATGAGTTTCATGCATTCTACCACTCTTTCCTGAGGGGGTTTGACAAGAGCATGTTCTTGGTAGTATTGAGAGTGGACAACAGTGTCAACCGCAGGAACTTCACTACTGAGCTAGTGTATTGGTTGAGGTTTATTGCTTCCCACAAGCCATCATCATCCAAACGGAAGCCTAAAGTGTTCATTGCACTCAACTTCTTTGGTGAAAAAGTCACCTTAAAAATACGCTTGAGAATGAGGTGGGTTGCATAATAGGGCAGTACCAAGAGGTTTTGGACATTGATGAAAACAGCATCTTAAAGGTGAAAGCAATAAAGGCAAGGACCTTACAGGTTTTAAAAAACAGGTTAGGAGAATCCTTACAAACATTGCTTTTACAACAACTCAGAGTCCCTAGCTTATGTGAAGATGCCAAAAAAATGTGCATGCAGCTGAGGTCCAAGGATAAAATGCAGATTATGGAAGTGCAAGATATTGACAAACGACTACTGGTGAAATATCAGAAACAAATGAAGACAACTTTGAATGAGGCTCATAAGCAAAACATCGTCAAATTTGTGTTCTTGTTCCTACATGACTTGGGAGAGGTGGTTTATTTTGATTCCAATTCAAAGTATGCCATCTTAGATGTGGAGTGGTTTATTCGAGATGTGATCAGCATGTTTATTGATCCCCAGAAGGTAACTATCTCATTAAACCAGCAGCAGCAGATGGTACAGGAAATACATGCAGTTGCAGATCAACTACTCAAACATTGTCAAGAAAAACAAGCCAAAGTCGAATATATTTTCCAGTGCCTGTATGAGATGGGTGTGCTGATACCCATAGATGTTGGCTGGACTGGGACATGGAAACCTCTACCTGAAAAAGTTGTTTTACCAGCACTTTCAGGCATGCAGCGGTCATACGCCCCATTTGAGAGAAAACAAGGGGAGAAGTATGAGTACTGGGGCAGGAGATTGGAATGCAAGGATGTCAAGTTTAAACTCTTTCCAACAGGTAATTTAGGATTAGAACTATATATCAACTAACAAATGAATGTTGTATGACATGTATCTTTGCAATGATTCAAGCCAAACTTCATAAAGAATTTAAGAATCCAAGTTTTGACGTTGGAATAGGCTTGGGGTATATGTGAGGATAGGAGGTGATACAGATTCATGGACAGACAGACAATGGGTGGAAATCATGCTTTGGGCACCTCAGGATGGTAGTATGAAGGCTGAGGAGCTCATGAAGAAGATCAAGAATTGTGTTTTAGATGTTTGCTTTGGTGAGCTGGAAATTGGTGACGAGAAAGTTTTGAAGACAAGATATGTTGAGAGGAGAATGCATCAACCACATAGTGAACCAGAAATTCAAAGAATTCAACACTTGAACTCACCTGAAGTGGCTGTCCCACTTTCAGAAATTCAAAAAGAAGCAGAGGAGAAAGGCCTGACCTACTCCCACACTTGGACCCGCAATGAAGATGATGAGCTGAGTAAGCTTCTGCTACCAAGTGAGCAGAGAGAACACATCCAGAAGAGAGCTATTGATCTCATTAAAGTCTGTCAGGATTATGAAAGGTTTGTGAAGGTGGTGTACAACACTCCCCCGCTGGATAATCGCATTCCAGAAGTACCAAGGGACTTTAAGAATGAGGATTCAGAGAAATTGGCCAGTTACATGCACAATATGTTTGAACGAACACAGCAGCAACTGGACCGCATAGAAACAAGCTTGGAGTTTATCAAAGCAGCAATGGCTAAGATGGAGAAGATGGGAAGACAAGTGTTGGCACACAGCTCCAAAATGTTGCACTCCCTCAGAGTAGAATGTCCATGCTATCCATATCTGGTAAGTGAGGATAACAAGTTCATGAAGTACGTACAGTTACACCGTAAGGTGAGAGTCCGGTACCATTGCGAGTATGAGGAGGGGAGTCACCCAGTAAACAACACAGAAGGTATCACAGTGAAGGTGCCAAAAGACTGGCTGAAAAACTGGGCTCCGGTGCTCATCGTGCTCTTCATGGGGATCAAGGTTGGAGCAACGGTATTGCATGTGGATTCATTTGTCAACGGTCTTGTAGATGTTCCCACACAAGAGATGCTGAACTTTCTCAGGAGTAACATGGGTAGGGAGACTTTGGATATAGAAACCTGGGGGTACAATGCATGTCCCTTCATAGTGTGGCCTGGCTGGATTTCCAACTCGGGGAAGCCACAACTGGGCTGTCCGTTTCTGGGGCCGTAGAGGCTGCAAGTTCGATGGCAACCGGCGCGGCCACTGCGACTCCGGCGACTGCGGCGTCCCTCCCGCCACCTTGGCCGAGTTCGCCTTGGCCTACGTTAACCAAAACTTGTACGACGTCTCGCTCGTTGTCGACGGCTACAACTTGCCATTGAGAATCACCCTGGAGAAGAACTGCAAGTCCCCTGGCTGTTACAGCGACCTGAACGCTATGTGCCCCAAGGAACTTCAAGTCTCGAAGGATAACTGGGTGATCGGCTGCAAGAGCGCTTGCGAGGTTTTCCAAACGGATGCTTACTGCTGCAGAGGAGCGCACAGCACGCCTGAGACTTGCCCGCCAACGGCTTTCTCCAAGGTGTTCAAGGATGCTTGTCCACAGGCTTACAGTGACGATGTGTACTTTCACCTGTGATACCGGTGGGGAATACAACATAACCTTCTACCCCAGTGGAGGATTTGAATTCGGAGCAGCTGGGGAACAGGTTGCTCTCATGGAGATGCTCTGAAGCTGTAACTGGAGACACTGGAGACTGGCTGGCCTGGTTGCGTTTTGAGTGGAGCTGATCATGAAGGAATGCTGGTTTTTTGTAATTCAGGAAGTTTTTAAACAGACCGGTCCATTGCAGCAAATACCGCATTTGCTGCGGTGGTAGGATATTCGCTTTAATTCAGGAAGTTTTTAAACAGACCATTTGCTTATTCATATCGTTAGTACATTCTTTATTTTGGTTCCTAGATTCGATTAGGGTTTTTGGCAGCGATGGTGCGGAAGGAGCTCATAGGGCGCTCGGTGTGGATGATCAAGGCCGCCAGGGGGACCCTGAGGAAGGACAGGCAGGCCCAACACTCGTGTATCGACCATCTAATCACCCTCCGCATCATCACAGAACCAAGACGCCTAACGACGAGTAAACCGCTACTCTGTTGCTTTGTGGATTTTGCTAAGGCTTTCGTCGAGAGACCATTTAGTGCGACACCGGGGTTAAGCAAGGATGCCCCTTATCCCCGACGCTTTTCGGCTTGTACATCGACGCATTGGAAGCATTGCTCCGAGAAGCGAATCTGTCTGATATTCAGCTAGCAGGGATCTGGATCTATCTTCTACTTTACGCTGACGACCTGCTCCTGGCTGCCACAACTCCGGAACTTCTGCAACGACAACTAGACTGCGTCAGTACATTCTGCACGAACATGGGGCTTGCAGTCAATCTCGACATGACCAAGGTAGTAGTGCTCGGGCCCACTCCTCGTGCAAATTCTATTACATAGGGACGGAAGTCGAGCAGACAGACAGTTACAAATACTTGGGCTACATGATACACAGACACAATCCATGGAAGGCCGGAACCTACGAAAGAAGACGAGCAGCGCAGTGTGCCTATCACGCAATGCAGAACATTCCTGGAGTAGAGACATGGTATGCAAAACGAATCCTCTACCAAACAAAGGTAGCGACAGTGGCCTTATATGCCTGCGAGATGTGGAGCCCGAACATGTCTCACACTGCATGGGGACGTTTTGAGAACCAAACGAAGACTCTCATCCAAAAGGAATTCGGGGTTTGCAGGACCGTTCCTTACACGATTATGATCTTGGAAGCCGGACTTCTTCCCTTCGAGATCTCAGCATGGAAACAGACTATGCAATATCTCCTCAACACCTTCCTAAAAACGACGGACAAATTGGCGCAGGCAGCTATTGTAGACTCGGATCAACTAGCCAAAACGCACTACCATGGATGGTACTTCCACCTCGCCCAATGGACATACCACTTGGGAATCAACTTTGATGACGTTCTAAACAGCATGGATGGTTTTCAGGAACGATGGATCCAGACAGCCATAGCAACATGGCTTAATCGAAGCGCTGGCACAAAACTAGCAATCTACGCTACCTCACTTAACTCGACCCGCCAACTGGGACAGGATTTATATCAGTACTGCAGACCCGGAACCAGGAAGATGATCGCTACCTATCGAATGGGATTGCATCGACTGCATGTTTGCGCCTCCTTTTGCAAAGCATTAGACGAACACGTACCTTATTGTTGCCCTGCGGGCGTGTGTCGAAGAAACGGAAAATCTGGTTGATCACGCTCCAATATTGGGTAGCCGCTTTCAGGTAGGTGCTGAGGTATAGTGTTTTGGACGCGTCCCCCATGAAGATTTCGAGGTTTTCGGTTTCCCAGTGGAGCTGTGGTATCAGACGACGAATGAAGTGATATGCCGGGCAGTTTAGCACGAAATGTTGTAGGTCCTCGACTGGCAGAAAGGGCATAGTCTTGCTTCCCTGGGCGTTATTGGTTTATGCCACCGTCCAACCTCTAAACAGACTGTTGTTGTTGTTGTTGTTGTTGCCAGGGAGAACCTGAGGAAGGATTTGACGCAGAAGCCGTCTAGGAAGGGGCGCCTGCCGTCGGCGATAGCGGCCAAGGTGAGAGCCAAAAAGCTGCCTCCGTCTTGGGTCAATCGGATCATTCCGCTCCCAAGTATATAAAGCCGTGATGGAGTTCTCCAACAGCAACAGGTTTGTCACCGCAGAGGTGTTCGATGTGGTGCATGATAATGCGCTGGTAGTGTCGGCCTCCACAAAGGAGGAGGTGAGGAAAGACCTGGAGAGCAATTCAGACACAGTTGCGGCAGCCAAGGTGGATAGCTTGAGGGAAACAAGGGTGAAGCTTATTTGAGAGCTGATGCCACTCTCTAGTGCACCATGCATCATGCACAACTGTTTCCCCGCAGCACCAGTTTTAAAGAATGTGAATCAGTTCACCTTCTCTCAAACTAGTGAACTGATTCACAGCAATGTCAGGGGATGTGGAGCAGAATTAAACAGAGTCGCAACAGCTTTGATCAATACGGGGAATGTGTTGCCAAGGAGCTATTCAAAAGCTCGTGGACTGCAACAATGGCAGGTTATGGTCTCAATGGAGAAGGGCATGCAGACGGTCTTGTGTGTGTGGGAATGTTCGGGAAGGCTTGGAAATTTTCCATTGTTGATACTCATAACTTGCAAAATGTATGGTGATATCAATTGCCAACAGTCTAGAGAACCTCACACCTGAGTGCGCCATGCGTGCTCCTGGAGCCACGGGAATCTCTGAGCTGTTTAAAACATATATGATCTTTGTTTTATTTTTTTAATCTTTCTTTTCCATTTGTATAATATTGAATATTCTATGACATGAGTAGACGCTAAAAAATATAAAATGTTAAGCATCTGCTATAGTTGATATACTATAATAATGGATTAATTTGCTTGTTCTTGTTGAAATCAGCACTTAAGACTCATTGGCGAATATACTTTCAACAAAAGGTCACTATCATTTTAACAAATTGAGTAGAAACACGGCATAGTATGACACCCAAATAACTCTCTGTCTTCTCTTTATGATATAGACTGCTAGCTAGAGAAATTCGTTTTGGAGATTCCAAGCTGCTGCATTCAGCTGAGGCATCTCATCATCGCTTGTTTCAAGTCACCAGTAGAACCGAGCTTCTGAATCAAACTAGTAGAATGGAACGTTTGCTGTAGAGTATTCTCTGAAGCCCGTACAGCCAGATCGGGGACTATGTCCATGTTGCAATGAGGTTATGGATGACGAGCTTGGTCCGTTACCAACATTAGCACTTAGGTTCCAGGGGGACATCACATTGATGATCACAACAACGGTATCCCGTAAAAGACTATTTATTGTTACACTTAGTACTTTGTTTTGGACTTTCTTCGCTGCAAGATATAGAACACAAGCTTATACAATTTCCGAAGTCCACGAAATTGCAAGTTGTGGCCTCACTGGAATTTTTTTTTTCTTATTATTTTTGTTTTTTATTTTTTATTTTGCTAAAACCTCTTACCTCACGTATTAGCTTATCTTCACAGGTTATCAACTCTACAAGGGTACAACTCTGAACACATTTTCGAGCGGGAGGTTCTTCAGGACCTCCAGAGTCCAGGAAGTTTAGGGAGGCAAGGAACAAGGAATCATGCTGGTGCCATTGGTGAGCTTGTGGATGCTGCTGCTGAGCAGGGCAGAAGCTCAACAGGACCCAGAGTTTGAGCAGCAACAGCAGCTTGCAGGTAACAAGCTCCGGTCTCGTAATCATCGACTCTGGCGAGACGGTGTGGCGGAGCGGTGCAGCTGGGGCGGTCGTAGCAGAAGCCGCAGAAGAATGTGGTTCTTGGGAGCACCATCATCGGGGCGTATGCCCAACATGGGAACCTCTAGGAGGCGCTGTGCGTCTCTAGGGAGATGTCGCAGAGGGATGTAGCGTCCTGGACCGCTGTTGTGAGCGCGTATGCCCTCAAGGGGCATCTGGATTGCGCCCTGCACATCTTCGACAGAATGCCTTCCCGCTGCGTGGTGCTGTGGAACGCTATGGTCACTGGGTATCCTCAGAGCGGGTATATGCAGCCTGCAGAGGAGCTCTTCAGAAGAGCGCCCGAGCGCAATTCGGTGACTTGGTCTGTGATGGTGCACGCATATGCCCGGCTGGGGCATCTTGAAGACGCCACGATTAGAATGCCGCAGCAGTCTATCGCCTCTTACACTTCGATCATCTCCGCAAGCGTAGAGAAAGGATTCGTGGAGAGCGCTCGGAAATTGTTCGAGGAGCTTCCCCAGTACGATGTGGTGCTTTGTAGTGCACTGATTAGTGCATATGCCAACACTGGGCACGGCAAGGAGGGCCTCGAGCTGTTCAGGAAAATGGACCAAGAAGGTGTGCAGCCCGATAAGATCATATTCGTGAGCCTGTTGGACGCGTGTGCGAATCCATCGAAGTCATCTTCAGCAGCAGAAGCCAGAACTTTGCACAAAAGCGTGACAGAAGCGGGGTTCCAGCAAGACTTAACGGTTGGGACGGGGCTTGTGAACATGTATTGCAAGTGTTGGAAGATGCTAGAAGTGTGTTGGAAGATGCTAGAAGATTCTGCTGGCAGCCTGTAAGAATCATGCTGATCCAGCTCGTGAGTCACGCGCTGCAGAGCATGTCCTCCGACTCGAGAAAGAAAGAGCAAAGAATTCCTCAATGCATGGGTTTGGAGAGAATAGTGATTTTATTATCAAGCTGGCTGCGTTGCACACATGACATCCCATAGCGAGAAGCGAGAGGAACTACAACTGAAGATCATGCTTGATGAGCCTCACTGAAGAGGTAATTTTTTCGTGTTTGACTACTTGGGAGGAGATCCCATTCTTGCTTGCAGGCTGCCATTGAAGAGCTTGGAGCTACAAACAAACTGTCTTCTTCCTTATCCCGATTGGACTAGCCACCGGCAACTAGCCAGCACAACAGCGTAAGTTACTTGACTCTCTCTGAGTATTAAAGGTCGTTGCTTTAGTCCGCAGTGGGACCACAGATTATGTGCATTTCACTGTTGGAAATCATGCGATAGTGAGGACAATGATATAAACGTCGAACGTTGTGGACCCAGCTACGGGTAAGGTTTTGCTCATGGAAAGTTGTTGGAGTTGGATATAGCTGGTTTCAAGCACTTGCTTTATAGTTCTGGAAGGCCATCCGAGACTGTAACTCAAGAAAGTCGGGTCAAGCAAGGTACCCTGTACGGAAACTGTTTGAAGGATACACCTGCTCCTGGCAAGTGTATCACATTGAAGACTTTCGAAGGACCAGTAGTTGATCGACATCGCAGAGTAGTGGACAAGTTCGCTACGGCTCTTCTGCTAGTATAAATTCTTTGGGGCAGTCCTCAGAATCCTCAGAATCGAAAGAAGTGAAGAACTAGAAAGCTGAAGAGAAATGGAGGTTCATCGAGTGAGATTGCTGGCTGTGTTGGCTGCTCTTCTTCTCGCAATTGAAGGTAACACTTGTTTTGCATTTCCTCAGGTGAATTTCCAATTCTGTTTCTGAATTGTCGTTCTCTTTTCAGGTGTTAGTTGCGTTCGGATCCGCCTCTACAATGAATGTCCCTTCACAGTGTGGCCTGGCTGGATTTCCAACTCCGGGAAGCCACAACTAGGAACCGGTGGTGTTAAACTCGATTCCTGGCAGTCTCATGACCTCAACCCCGGTGCAGACTGGGCTGGCCGTTTCTGGGGCCGTAGAGGCTGCAACTTCGACGGCAACGGGCGCGGCCACTGCGACTCGGGCGACTGCGGCGACAAACTTAACTGCGGCAACTCGGGTGGTGTCACTCCCGCCACCTTGGCCGAGTTCCAGCTCAACGGCCACGGTAACCAAGACTTCTACGACGTCTCGCTCGTGGACGGCTACAACTTGCCAATGAGAATCAACCCGGAGTGGAACTGCAAGTCGGCTGGCTGTCACAGCGACCTGAACGCTATATGCCCCAACGAACTGAAAGTCTGGAAGGATAACTGGGTGATCGGCTGCAAGAGCGCTTGCGAGGTTTTCCAAACGGATGCTTACTGCTGCAGAGGAGCGCACGACAAGCCTGAAACTTGCCCTCCAACGCCTTTCTCCAAGGTGTTCAAGGATGCTTGTCCACAGGCTTACAGTTATGCTTACGACGATTTGACTAGTACCTTCACCTGCGGTACGGGTGGGGGATACACCATAACCTTCTGCCCCAGTGGAGGATTCGAATTCGGAGCAGCTGGGGAACAAGCTGCTTTCATTGAGAAGCTCTGAAGCCATAACTGGAGATACTGGCTGGCCTGGTTGCGTTTTCAGTGGAGCTGCTGAAGAATGATCATGAAGGAATGCTGGCTTTTTAAGTTTTTAAAACAGACCGGTTTTTTGCAGCAAATGCCCTTTCGCGGCATTTGCTGGAATGCTATATGAATGAGTATATTCTCGTCAATTGCATGAGTTTGGAGCCCACTGAAGAGCTCACAATGCGCCGCTCCTCGACGAGCGTGTAGGTTCCTTGATCGATTTCGGCGCAATCTCCACAGATTTCGGCGCAATCTCCACAGATTCCGGTTCTGCTCGGGAAGCACATCAGGTACATTTTGATTTTTTCCGCAAGAACTCCAATATCTCCCGAAATCAGGAATCTCCGCGGTGTGGAGTGGATTGAGCAGCATTTACGATCTCTGTGAGTGAATCTTCCAATCTTTTAGGTTTTGTGAAATTCCTCTTGTCCTCTTGTAGGCGATGGCAGCAGATGCTGAAGCAGGTCAGGAAATTACACGAAATGCGAGCCGGACACTGCACCGCCCCCTCAGATTGTTTAAGCAGAATCCTGCACTGGGAGCCGTCCTGGTAATCGTTTTGCTCTTCTGCCTTGCTCTGCTTACTCGCCCGTGAAACGCACACCGTCAACATCAAGTGGTAAATGTGAAGCAAAGGATCAATTTCAACCATGGAGCCGACAGAGGCAAAGTACCTCTTCAAATTCCTACTTCCAAGGCGCAACATGTCGTGCAGGTTATCAAAACCAGGCTCCTTCAGGTAGGCTACAGATAATTTGTACCATTCCTCTTGCTCAATTCAGCATAATCTGTATTCTTTCACAGGCAGCTGTTGTTTCTGGAGGATCAGAAGCCCATCTTGGTTAAGCTTGATTGTCAATGTACAGCAGAGGACCTCCATACAGGTGATGACGACTGTTCAGCCCGTAGTACTGGTCCCGTGGTCCCCAAGTTTTCTAGTTTTCAACCAAATTGTTTATATGTTTGCCCAGTTTACAGAAGATCATGCTTCACTTTGAGCAACTGCAGTACACCTCCAGGTGGTCTCTTCATCTTTAATTTGACCATGCTTGGAACGTAATGGAAACTCTTTTGGCGACTTTGTAAATTGGTTGATGATCCGGTCCTAAATTTTATAAAAAGAAGTTATTTTATTGCATTTGGTTGAAGTTTTTGATGGCTCTTGTTGTAAGTTTTTGTTTTTGACATTATATTTCACCAGCATGCACAACCTTGTGAATTTGTATTATCATGACATTGTAAAAGTAAAGCATAATTAAATTTCACCCATTGATTACTTGTGCATGCATAATAATGTGCACCAAAACCACCTGGTTCTCCTAGCTTCCATGCACAAATAAAATCTCCATCTTCACAATAATCTGGGAGGTCACAATGAAATTTATTATTGACATAAGCAAACCTAGCTGGATCTATAGGCCTTGTATAATCACAACTTTTTGTATAATGCTGTCAATGCACATAAATAAAAATGTTAAATTAACGATGTCGATGTGGAGCCGGATGAATCCGTCAAGGTGGATCCAGCAAGCGGAATTTTCAACGAGGGCCAAACAACTTTGCGATTTGAGAGAACCTCCTGAAGTAGCAGCGCACCTCAAAATCATCTCCAAGGTTTGGATTCTGATCAATCAAGTCCCTCTCGAGGCAGGCACTCCAAAAGAACAACTTAAACTCACATATCGTGCAAATTTACCACCGCCTGGAGAAAGTAGTTTACCATCCTCGTTTGTTATTGTCTCTAACTTCTGCTACACCATGTCTCACACTAGCAGCACCACCAGCATGCGCAGGCCAAGAATGCGGGATGTTGGGTACAAGGGACATGTTGACAACTCGACAGTACTTAACATCTTGCCAGCAGTTCCAGGAGCTCACGATCCAGAGGAAACAGAAATGTCAGATCACGAGTCCCTCGAGTCTACGTCCTGAAAGTTTTCGAGCTTTCAACGCGTAGAACACCGTTTTGGGGCCTGGTCAGTCGCAGCCTGCTTTTGAGGGGCTTCGTATTGCTCAAGACGGTTGGACTTGTGCATTGGGATTTGGGTGTTGCTCAGGAAAACCACCAGTTGGCGGAGGCATTGGATGTCACGCAGGGGCAGGAGGAAGCTGCAACAAATATACAACATTATCATAGCAGCAAATGGGACAACCGATAGACAAGTTACCTTCTAAAGGAATCTCAATCTGAACCTTAACGACCTGTTTTATATCAACGAAGTCTCGTCCTAAACTCCTGGCGGCTTTTTTGCTTTCGTCATCTGAGAGGCACAGCATCAGCGTGGAACATCCACAAGACAGTACAACAAAAGCCCACCGTAGCTGATCTTCTCCACCTTGGCAGAAACTTCAGAGAAAGCCAATGAGAAGCCAAATTAAAGGAACAAACTGTTCAAACTTCCACTCTGCTGTGCAAACGACGTTGTTACGACAGTAGTTGTGCCTGGTAGATAACTCCGTCGAGAATGTTACTCTGTCGGGGCTTTCACGCCTCTTGCATCCGGAAGACAAACAAATTTAGCTTTGTGCAAAACGTTGGGCCCGGGTTGCGTCTCCTGAAAATACGCTCATCAGGAATGAAAATTCTGCCAAATAAAACCATACCTGTTTAGAGCTCAGTTGAAACTACACGTGTAGGTTGAATTGAGTTCTAAATAGTGGCTCTGGCAAAGCCATGCACCTGCACCTGTATGCCATTGCAGACCACAGTACTTGCGCATCATACTCTCTATCTCCAGGTTATCTCTTGCATTGCATTGCTGCCGCACCACTTCAAACACTTGTTCAATATCTCCTTTTGTCGGGTTCAGCTTCTTCCAGGTTTCTATATCCAAAGTCTCCCTACCCATGTTACTCCTGAGAAAGTTCAGCATCTCTTGTGTGGGAACATCTACAAGACCGTTGACAAATGAATCCACACAAGACCGTTGACAAATGAATCCACATGCAATAGTTTTGCTGCAACGTTGATCCCCATGAAGAGCACTATGAGTCCAGGGATGAGCATCGGAGCCCAGTTTTTCAGCCAGTCTTTTGGCACCTTCACTGTCATACCTTCTGTGTTGTTTACTGGGTGACTCCCCTCAGCATACTCGCAATGGTACCGGACTCTCACCTTATGGCGTAACTCTACGTACTTCATGAACTTGTTATCCTCACTTACCAGATATGGATAGCGTGGACATTCTACTCTGAGGGAGTGCAACATTTTGGAGCTGTGTGCCAACACTTGTCTTCCCATGTTCTCTATCTTATCCAGTGTTGCTTTGATAGACTCCAAGCTTGTTTCCATGCGGTCCAATCGCTGTTGGATGTAAATGAGCACTTTTTTAAAATCCTCATTCTCAATGTCCCTTGGTACTTCTAGAATGTGATTATCCAGCGGGGGAGTGTCGTACACCACCTTCACAAACCTTTCATAATCCTGACAGACTTTAATGAGATCAATAGCTCTCTTCTGGAGGCCTTTCTCCTCTGCTTCTTTTTGAGTTTGTGAAAGCGGGACAGCCACTTCAGGTGAGTTCAAGTGTTGAATTCTTTGAATTTCTGGTTCACTATGTGGTTGGTGCATTCTCCTCTCAACATATCTAGTCTTCAAAACTTTCTCTTCACCAATTTCCAGCTCACCAAAGCAAACATCTAAAACACAATTCTTGATCTTCATCATCAGCTCCTCAGCCTTCATACTACCATCCTGAGGTGCCAAAAGCATGATTTCCACCCATTGTCTGTCTGTCCATGAATCTGTATCACCTCCTATCCTCACATATACCCCAAGCCTATCTTCATTGAACGATACCCAGCCACTTCCAACATCAAAACTTGGATTCTTACATTCTTTATGAAGTTTGGCTTGAATCATTGCAAAGATACCTGTCACACAACATTCATCTGTTAGTTGAAATACAATTTTAATCCTAAATTACCTGATGGAAAGAGTTTAAACGTGACATCCTTGCATTCCAATCTCCTGCCCCAGTACTTGTACTTCTCCCCTTGTTTTCTGTCAAATGGGGCGTATGACCGCTGGATGCCTGAAAGTGCTGGTAAAGCAACTTCTTTAGGTAGAGGTTTCCATGTCCCAGTCCAGCCATCGTCTATGGGTATCAGCACACCCATCTCATACAGGCACTGAAAAATATATTCGACTTTGGCTTGTTCTCCTTGACAATGTTTGAATAGTTTATCTGCAACTGCATGTATGTCTTGTACCATCTGTTGTTGGCTGTTTGATGAGATATTTATCTTCTGGGGATCAATAAACAGGCTGATCACATCTCGAATAAACCACTCCACATCTAAGATGGCATACTTTGAAATGGAATCAAAATAAACCACCTCTCCCAAGTCATGCAGGAACAAGAACACGAATTTGATCATGTTCTGCTTCTGAGCCTCATCCAAACTTGTTTTGATCTGTTTTTGATATTTCACCAGCAGTTGTTTGCCAATATCTTGCACTTCCACAATCTGCATTTTATTCTTCTTCAGTTGTATGCACATTTCTTTGGCATCTTCACACAAGCCAGGGACACTCTGAGTTGTTGTGAAAGTAATATTTGTAAAGACTTTCTTAATTTGCTTTTCAAAACCTGTAAAGTCCTTGCCTTTATTGCTTTCACCTTCAAGATGTTTTCATCAATGTCCAAAATCCCCCGGTACTACCCAATTATGCAAACCACCTCATCCACAAGTGTATCAAAGGTGACTTTTTCACTGAAGAGGTTGAGTGCAATAAACACTTTAGGCTTCCGTTTGGATGATGACGGCTTGTGGGAAGGAATAAACCTCAACCAATACACCAGCACAGTAGTGAAGTTTTTGCGGTTGACACTGTTGTCCACTCTCAATACTACCAAGAACATGCTCTTGTCGAACCCCCTCAGGAAAGAGTGGTGGAATGCATGAAACTCATACTGGCCAGCCATATCACAAATCAGCAGCTTCTGTTCAGTGTTGTTGAAGGCGAAGGAGAGGGGTTGCAACTCAATTCCAGATGTTGAAGGGTGTCGTTGGAGGCAAGCTGGGAGTGGCAAATATTTTTTGCGACTGATGTTTGTTTTGATGGTGATCTTCCCAGCCTGAGTTGGACCACACAAGAACAGTTTTGCCATATAAGCCTCCTTGTTTGAGGCTCTAGCAGCTCGAAATATGGAATTCCGCTTCAACAGTTCACTGCATTTTGCGTCCAGGGCTTCTGATCCCTTTGTCACGTAGAGTTCTTCCAGATGGCTTTGGTAATTCCTATCTAGTGCTTCCAGCATCTGCTTCTGCATCCACATGTCCAAGGTTCCCCCGACTTCCAGGCTTTGAAGATTGCAATCTGGGTTTCCAAGAATCAAGTAACAGACCATATCCAGATTCTGTGGCGTCACCCATATGTTGAGCTTGTGTATCTTGCTTGCCAGCATTCCCTGGAATAGATCTTCATGCTCAAATGTTCTACAGTCCAGTCGTACCAAGCTTGAGTGTCTCAGATGGGCCCCAAGCCTCGCTTGAGCATCTGGCGTCAGTCTGTCCTCTATAACTAGCTCTTGAAGTGTGCGCGTCTCGCTCAGACCATCAATAAATACTTGCGGAATGTTTGTAGCCTCGAGTCTGTATGTAAAACCTAAACTTAAGCGTGTCAGCTTGTATTGTGGATTTTCAACCAGTGCTGTTCCCACGATTGCGTAGTATTTCTCTGCAGAATCCTCCCGCCTTGGCATCCCTATTGATAATGTCAAGTCTTGAATTTTGCTGCTAGGCAGGGCCTTCATGAGGCACTCCACTCCCTTGTAACCGATGTCGTTCCAAGTGATGCACAATCTGTGCAAAGAGCAGCTACCGCTCTCCAAAGCACCACCCAAACTCGTTGCACCTTCTTCTTCGATCCCATTAAGCTCCAGGCGCAACACACTCAGGTGAGGGAGATGGCCCCCTTGAAGAGCCTCACATAAAAGCTTGAAATTCTTGTCACCTATATGGTCATATTGTAGGTGCAGCTCTTCCAGGCTCTGCAATTTGGAACTTGCTGCTGCCCGTGCCAGAACCTCTGCTCCTCTGTCATCAAACCCAAGCTCCTCAGTCTAGCACTGCTGCCCGGACTAAGGTGCTTGAGCAGACCATCCAACCCTTCGTTTCCTAATCTGGTTTTGTCAGAAATCCACAGCCTTTCCAGCACACACTTGGGAGACGCCAGAGCCTTGCTTAGAGCCTCCATGGCATTCTCGCCCAATTCTCCAGCGGAGTATAGCCCTATGCCAGCAGTCGCAAGGAATAATGGGCATATTGCGTCCATCAATTTGTTGTCATAACCCAAATCTATGTGCCAGAATACCAACCGATCCAGCGGGCATGGCAGGGTTGAGATGGAGGAGCAGAGCTCTTGAAAGCTGGATAGCGGCAGCTTCACCAGGTCATTGCCCCTGTTTAAATGACCGTCACGCGATAGTGCTCAAAAATTCACTCACTCACCCTTCAATCGTAAGCCGTTTCAAAGCGGTGCTGTTGTTGCTGCTGCTCTGCAGCAAGACTGAGAACCTCATCTGAGGGGCCGAGAAAATCTCCATGGAAATCGTCAATGCCCTCCTTCAGCGCCCGCATCTCATCAATAGGGAAACCCACACTCTTCGCTACAGCTGCTATGGTAAGCTGATAGTCAAGACAATCCCCATCCTCTCCCAGAAACACAGCTGCAAACTCATTTTTCGGATTGAAATGCCTTGACTCGTCGTCAGCAAAGACATAACGGAGCAATGCGCCCACATGGATGAGGATGGTCAGCAGCGATAAGCTGGAGAATTTGGCTTTCAACTGCAGCACCAATTCACTCACTCGCTCTGTTGATACTCTCCCTTCACTAAGAAGCTCACCCCACTCAACCTTGTGCAGCCCATCCAGCAGCACCCGCATCCCAGGAAGAGAAACCATCAAGTTCCCTTGACTCTCTGCCAGAAATCTCTCAAACTCCTCAATTCCATAGCATTGCCTCCAGACAAGTCTATCCCGAGCCATGGACGCCAGGGCACACACGGATCTGAGTAGCCCCTCTGGGGTTCAGAATATAAACGATTTTTCCATTCTATAATTTCTTCATTGTGAAGTGATTTGTCATGAAATAATGTTGACGTGACATTTGGCCCAACTTTCTTTCCGCCCAGAAAGTTTCTGGACCCTGTCGCCTGTACCATCAGATTCTGAACTCCAGCATGGAATGAGTTGAGAATCTCTCACCTCCTGTGTTGTGTATTTTATTATACACAATACAGGAGGTGAAAGATTCTCCAGTCATCATTTTTTATTAATTTGAAATATCATATTTAAACGATTTACTTCAAAATATAAACTTAAATTTTTTTTAAACATAATATATTTGTAAACTTTCTTACCTCTAACATCTTTTATTTTCGAGTTTTAATAGCCAAGGTCCATTTTTTTATTGCTATAATTCCAAGGCCAGAATGTACATAAATATATGAGAGATGTGATCATTGCTCTTTTGTGGAACACCAGTCAGTGATCTTCATCAGTTCACTTAAGCCCCAGTGGGAAGATGAATTTTTATTTGCTAACATAAATTAAATAATAAAACAATCTTATTAACACTCTTGTTTGATTGGGCAAAACACACTTAGAATATTCTCAATTAGATTATTTTAAAATTTGTGCTTTGGGTCATCAAAGCTGGAGTTATAAATAGAGTTTTTTACATTATAACGTGGCAAGGGTACCCTAAATCAATCGTCTTAGGGTTTAAGGTTTAGAGCAGGGAGCATGGTGAGCATCATCATCAACAGGAACTTTAAGGCTCCAGGCACTAAAGGCAACGCACTTTGTGGGGAGATGATTCCCAAAAACACTGCCTCCAAAGAGCTGAAATGCGCGGAGGCCTATCTAAAGCTGGGGGAGTTCCCGAATGCTCTGGCATCGCTGTTCTCGAGAACGACGAGTTCCATGTCAAGGCAACTTTCCACAAGGCAAGAGCTCTTTACACAGTGTGGGTGAGGATGACGCAGCAGTGGAATGCCTGTACAAACTACTGATGGCGAACAGCAAGCCTGAGCTCCAACAGGAAGCTGTCAAGCTTCTCCCGCCAGCAAGAATGCGGCTTGTTCACTGACACCGCGGCCAAAGCTGAAGGTTTCATCAAAGGCGATGCCAAACGGCCAGGCGCTCTTGCCTGTGTCCGGGCGTTGTGCGAAACCCGTTGAAGGAGTTGTCTGTGAGAGATGCAGGCTGGTGAGCTACTGCAGTGTCAGGAGCATGGCCGGGGTTCAAGATGTCAAGCTCTACGACTTGTGTTTTGCTGCATCAGGTAATCTCTGCGGCTACTCGGGCAAGGTGCGGGTCTTGGTGAACGACAACAACGCTCAAGTGTCTGTCCAGAACTTTATGATCCTGGAACTGCTGAAGCTCTTCAGCCGAGACGCAGTAGAGGTCGCCATTGCCTTGTGGTAATCGGATGCTATGACAGACGGGTGTCTGTCGCAGCAGGCTGGGATGTTCTCAAGAGATGCGGATTTCTAGAGCACTCGGCTACAACCACTATTGCATGCAGGCTCTTTTCTGTCCTACATCGCCTAGGAAGGAAATCTTTCATCAAATGGCTGTGCTACAGCAGTCTATGGTTGATCAGCCATTTGTCGGCATTGGGCAAGCGTCCTTTGCTCAATTCGGTCCCAATGCTGCAGGTGGTGCAGACGGTCCTGTCGAGAACACCATGGAAAGTCTCTTCAGCCAGCATGGTCGCAGTTTCACGTTCATTCTGGACTCCTTCTCTTTTGTTACTAAGGAAGATGTTTCGTGTCTTTCACCTAGCAACTCTTCTGCCAGGATGCTTGACTGCTTGCTGATCAGTTGAAGGCAGTATAAAGTATAAAGTTTCACTGTATCATGACTTCCAACATTGCTGACTCCAACTACCTTGGGATGGAGAGGGTGTTAACCGCATGGGGGCCTCTTCTGGCGACCAAGGAGAAGCTTTTCCTACAAAGGATCAGAGTTTGTCGTTTATTTTATGTGCTGACTTAGCTGGATGTGCTAGCAGTTTTGAATACCTCAGAAGCGACTTCATCTCCATCACGAAATGCGGGGTCTTGAGAAATGTGTTGAGTGTCCTCTCTTCCGAAATATCGCGTTTCCTCAGTAGCTCCATACAAAAGTGTTTCTGCTCAGCATATGGATGTGGATGAGAGTTTGGATTTTTGCGGAGGTCATTGATGAAGTCCTACCTGCACCCGACGGAACCATTTCCTGAAGACGACCATGAAGTCCTTATGAGGCAACGGACATACGGCTCTAACGTTAATTCGGACAGCTCTGATCCTCGCCTGCTACATTTCTTGTAAGTGAATTTCCCTTTTCGTTTTGGTCCTGGAGTCTTGAATTTGTTTTTCGCAGTGAAGTACACACGCAAGCGAGAAGCCGCGTACCGTGGTGGAAATTTCAGGAATTTACCTCCCTGTGCTGTATACTGGATTCAGAGCTCCAAGCAAGTATCGTGGCTGATACTTATTCTTGAAACAATGTCGATAAACTCATCCAAAGAGACGCCACGAAGAGTAACCTTTATCTTTCTATTGTGCGTACTCAGTGGCGTGGAGCAAGAGGAAATTCAAATGGTTGCAGAATTTCGTACTCAAATGGTTTTTATTGTTGAGGATTCTGCTGCTTCCCACTAACTTCGGCGTGGGATGTAAACAAAAGAAATATTCTAGGTAAATTCTTGCTCGAAGCAAGTGAGCTGAAAACTTTGAGATGGAAGCAACATGGTTTCAAGGGCCGGGTATGTGTCGCTGCTGCGGGAATGCACAGTTCTCTCAGCTTGAAGGCAGATCCACTCGGAGCTGATGAAACTGGGATGGGAGGAGCAGACATTCTTCGGAAATTTGCTGGTTCACATGTATGGCAGATTGGGGAGCCTGCAGGACGCGTGTCTGGCGTTCAGCAGGATTGGGAAGAAGAACGTCTTCTCCTGGAACATCATGATCGCTGCGCACGTCCTCAATGACAAATTGATGGGCGCCAGGAGATTGTTCGAGCTGATGCCGCAGAAGAATGTGGTTCCCGGGAGCACCATGATCGGGGCGTATGCCCAACATGGGAACCTCCAGGAGGCGCTGTGCGTCTTCAGGGAGATGCCGCAGAGGGATGTAGCATCCTGGACCGCTGTTGTGAGCGCGTATGCCCTCAAGGGGTATCTTGATTGCGCTCTGGACATCTTCGATAGAATGCCTTCCCACTGCGTGGTGTTGCGGAACGCTATGGTCACTCGGTATGCCCAAAACGGCCATATGCAGCGTGCAGAGGAGCTCTTCAGAAGAGCGCCCGAGCGCAATTCGGTGACTTGGTCTGTGATGGTGCACGCGTATGCCCGGCTGGGGCATCTTGAAGACGCCACGATCACCTTAGAGAGAATGCCGCAGCAGTCCATCGCCTCTTACACTTCGATCATCTCCGCAAGCGTAGAGAAAGGTTTCGTGGAGAGCGCTCGGAAATTGTTCGATGAGCTTCCCCAGTACGATGTGGTGCTCTGTAGTGCACTGATTAGTGCATATGCCCGGACAGGGCACGGCAAGGAGGGCCTCGAGCTGTTGAGGAAAATGGACCAAGAAGGTGTCCAGCCCGATAAGATCATATTCGTGAGCCTGATAGACGCGTGTGCGAATCCATCGAATTCATCTTCAGCAGCAGAAGCCAGAATTTTGCACGAAAGCGTCAGAGAAGCGGGGTTTGAGCAAGACTTAACGGTTGGGCGGGAGTTGTGAACATGTATTGCAAGTGTGGAAAGCTGGAAGATGCTAGAAGTGTGTTTAACAGATTGGAGGAACGGGATGCGGTAGCCTGGACGAGTATTGTTTTGGGACACGCTCAAAACGGGCTAGCTGAGAAAGCTGTTGAATTTTTCAGCTGGATGGTGATGGAGGGGGTTGAGCCTGTGGACGTTACGTTCATTGCTGTGTTGGTTGCTTGCAGCCATGGAGGATTGTACCGGCAAGGCTGGCAGCACTTCGTGGGGATGCAGGCAGATTTCCACATGGAACAGACTCTGGATCACTATCTATGCATGATGGACCTCCTTGGTCGGGCCGGCAAGCTGGAACACATTGAGGAGCTGATTCATAGCATGCCGTTTGAAGCGGATTTATCGGCTTGGAAGATTCTGCTGGCAGCGTGTAAGAATCATGCCGATCCAGTTCGTGAGTCACGCGCTGCAGAGCATGTTCTTCGGCTCGAGAAAGAAAGAGCAAAGAGTTCGTGAATGCATGGGTGAGGAACTACAACTGAAGATCATGCTTGATGGGCGTCGTGCTTCCCACTGAAGAGGTAATTTTTTCGTGTTTGACTACTTGAGAGGAGATCCCATTCTTGCTTGCAGGCTGCCATTGAAGAGCTTGGGGCTACAAACAAACTGTCTTCTTCCTTATCCCGATTGGACTTTTCACCAGCAAGTAGCCAGCACAGCAGCGTAAGTTACTTGACTCTCTCTGAGTAATAAAGGTCGTTGCTTTAGTCCGCAGTGGGACTACAGATCATGTGCATTCACTGTTGGAAATCCGAGAAGGATGCGATAGTGAGGACAATGATATAAACGACGAACGTTGTGGACCCAGCTGCAGGTAAGTTTTTGCTCATGGAAACCTTTTGGAGTTGGATATAGCCGGTTTCATTTATAGTTCTGGAAGGCCATCCGAGACTGCAACCAATGAAAGTCGGGTCAAGCAAGGTGAAACTGTTTCACCTGGACGACGAGTACAGTGAGTCGCAAAACTGTTTGAAGGACAACACCTGCTCTTGGCAAGTTAACTCTGGCTGACAGGAGAGCTGGTGGAAAGGTCTTTCTGTGGAGAAACTAGCGAGCCCTCCTGAATGACGAGGAGTACAGTGAGTCACAAAACATTTTTATATCAGGACGTCCTTGTAAAGTTGCTGGAGGGCTGAAGCCACTTGACGTATATCACATTGAAGACTTTCGAAGGACCAGTAGTTGATCGACATCGCAGAGTAGTGGACAAGTTCGCTACGGCTCTTCTGCTAGTATAAATTCTTTGGGGCAGGCTTCAGAACTCGGATGCTGTCCCTCCCGCCACCTTGGCCGAGTACGGCTACAACTTGCCATTCAGAATCAACCCGGAGTGGAACTGCAAGTCCGCTGGCTGTCACAGCGACCTGAACGCTATGTGCCCGAACGAACTGAAAGTCTGGAAGGATAACTGGGTGATCGGCTGCAAGAGCGCTTGCGAGGTTTTCCAAACGGATGCTTACTGCTGCAGGGGAGCGCACGACAAGCCCGAGACTTGCCCGCCGACGCCTTTCTCCAAGGTGTTCAAGCATGCTTGTCCACAGGCTTACAGTTACGCTTACGACGATGAGACTAGTACCTTCACCTGCGGTACCGGTGGGGGATACACCATAACCTTCTGCCCCAGTGGAGGATTCGAATTCGGAGCAGCTGGGGAACAGGCTGCTCTCATTGAGATGCTCTGAAGCCATAACTGGAGACACTTGGCTGGCTCGGTTGCGTTTTCAGTGGAGCTGCTGAAGAATGATCATGAAGGAATGCTGTAATTCAGGAAGTTTTTTAAACAGACTGGTCCTTTGCAGCAAATGCCGCGAAAGTGAATGCTATATTTTTGGTGGTAGAATATACGTTACTTTTATCCGTATGTTTATAGGGTGGTAGTATATTCTTCAGTTTTGGTTCCTGGTTTTTGTGGTGACAAACCTGTTCTTCATCGCATATACTTGGTGAGCGACCCAAGACGGAGGCAGCTTTGTGGCTCTCACCTTGGCCGCTATCGCCGACGCCAGGCGCCCCTTCCTAGACGGCTTCTGCGTCAAATCGGTCTCCCTGGCGGAATGCACAAAGGAGAAAGAGGTGAGGAAAGATCTCGGACACGGTTGCGGGGCAGAGTTTTTGCTGAGCGATTGCAAGAGAAGGGCATTCCAGAAGTCATTACCACATAAACGTAGAGAAAGGCGTTTCTGGATAGCTTGAGGGAAACAGGGGTGAAGCGAGCTACCAGTTTGAAAGAATGTGAATCAGTTCAAACTAGTGAACTGATTCACAGCAATGTCAGGGAATGTGGAGGAGCAGGAGTTGCAACAGCTTTGATCAACATGTATGGGGAATGCGGAATTGTGAGCGTTGCCAAGGAGCTATTCAACTGCTTGAACTAAGCTCCTGGAGTGCAACGGTGGCTGCTTATGGTCTCAATGGACAAGCCTCCTGGAAGGCATGCAGACGGCCTCCATGATCATCGACGCCGAGCTCCAAAAACCCTAAGCGAATCTAGGAACCAAAATTAAAGAATATACTACCAATATTCTACCACCCAAAATATAGCATTCCAGCAAATGCCCTTTCGCGGCATTTGCTGCAAAGGACCGAGGAATGTTCGAGCATGGCCAGCCAACAATACCTTTTGTTTCCGGCATGACTCCTGTGTTGAATCACTTGTAAAATGTATAGTGATATCAGGCGACCAAGCTATTGCCAACAGCTAGAGAACCTCATACCTGACTGAAACAGGTGCGCCATGCGTGCTCCTGTAGCTGAGCCACGGGATCTGAGCTGTTTAAAATATATATGACTTTGTAATTTTTATTTTTATTTTTTTAATCTTTTTTTTTTCCATTTGTATAATATTAAATATTCTAAGTAGATAAACAAATTTAAAATATTAAGCATTTGCTATAGTTGATAACTTGATATGCTAGGTGGGGATTAAAATCAAACCTCTTTTTGCTTGAAAACTACCTCCTCAAAGGTGAAATCAGCACTAAAGAATCATTGGTGGATATTATACTTTCAACAAATGGTCACTATCATTTTACAAACTGAGCTGCTGGTCAGCAAGATCAAGAGCAGAAACACTGTTCAGACTGACATAACATGACACCCAAATAATCATCCTCCCAACAGGACCCAGAGTTTGAGCAGCAACAGCAGCTTGCAGGTAACAGGCTCCGGTCTCGTAATCATCGACTCTGGCGAGACGGGGCGGTTGTAGGAGAAGCCGCAGAAGACCCGGGGGCACCATGATCAGGGCGTATGCCCAACATGGGAACCTCCAGGAGGCGCTGTGCGTCTTCAGGGAGATGCCACAAAGGGTCCTGGACTGCTGTTGTGAGCGCGTATCCCCTCAAGGGGTATCTTGATTGCGCTCTGAACATCTTCGATAGAATGGCTTCCACTGCGTGGTGCTGTGGAACGCTATGGTCACTGGGTATGCCCAGAACGGCCATATGCAGTGTGCAGAGGAGCTCTTCAGAAGAGCGCCCGAGCGCAATTCGGTGACTTGGTCTGTGATGGTGCACGCATATGCCCGTCTGGGGCATCTTGAAGACGCCACGATCACCTTAGAGAGAATGCCGCAGCAGTCCATCGCCTCTTACACTTCAATCATCTCCGCAAGCGTAGAGAAAGGTTTCGTGGAGAGCGCTCGGAAATTGTTCGATGAGCTTCCCCAGTACGATGTGGTGCTCTGTAGTGCACTGTTTAGTGCATATGCCAAGACTGAGCACGCAAGGAGGGCCTCGAGAGGAAAATGGACCAAGAAGGTGTGCAGCCCGATAAGGTCATATTCGTGAGCCTGTTGGACGCGTGTGCGAATCCATCGAATTCATCTTCAGCAGCAAAAGCCAGAATTTTGCACGAAAGCGTGAAAGAAGCAGGGTTTGAGCAAGACTTAACTGTTGGACGGGAGTTGTGAACATGTATTGCAAGTGTGGAAAGCTGGAAGATGCTAGAAGTGTGTTTAACAGATTGGAGGAACGGGATGCGGTAGCCTGGACGAGTATTGTTTTGGGACACGCTCAAAACGGGCTAGCTGAGAAAGCTGTTGAATTTTTCAGCTGGATGGTGATGGAGGGGGTTGAGCCTGTGGATGTTACGTTCATTGCTGTGTTGGTTGCTTGCAGCCATGGAGGATTGTACTGGCAAGGCTGGAAGCACTTCTTGGGGATGCAGGCGGATTTCCACATGGAACAGACCCTGGATCACTATCTATGCATGATGGACCTCCTTGGTTGGGCCAGCAAGCTGGAACACGTTGAGGAGCTGATCCATAGCATGCCGTTTGAAGCGGATTTATTGGCTTGGAAGAGGCAGCGTGTAAGAATCATGCCGATCCAGCTCGTGAATCACACGCTGTGGAGCATGTTCTTCGGATCAAGAAAGAAAGAGCAAGGAATTCGTCAACGCATCGGTTTGCAGAGAATGGTGATGATATCCCATAGCGCGAAGCGACAACTGAAGATCATGCTCAATAAGCCTGATCCTCAATCAGAATAATTCCTTTAAAATGCGCCCTAAACCCTAAATTCCTTTCGCAAAAGGATTAAACCCTAAACCCTAAACCCTAGATCATTGAAGATCAATAATTGCAATGATCTATCCCCACGATGAAATTTCAAAAGATTACCCGAGCCTTTTGGCACAGGCACGCAGTCGTTGAATTCATCAGTGTAGCGCGTGTGCGGCCCAGAACATCTAAGGGCATCACAGACCTGTTATTGCCTCAAACTTCCATCTGCTGGAAGCAAATAGTCCCTCTAAGGACTTGCTACTCACCACCAAGGAGGTCACCTCAGAACCCAGCTGCCCCCATGCGACTGAGCTCACCCAAGTTCAAGACAAGGGAATTGCCTGCCCGGATCTGGACTTGGTGGTCACACCAGGAACATCAGTTCATTCAGCATCACAAGTAAGTGGAGCCATCACCCATCAGGGACAACAAGGAGTAGCACAAGAGCATGTAACTTCTTGCTCCCTCTGTCACATGCATTTTTAACAAAGGTTTTCTTAGGTAGAAATACATCCCTTGCCCGAGATTCCAAAAGGTCGCTCAATAGCACAGAGCATATGACTTCTTGCTCCCCCGTCACGTGCATTTTTAACAAAAGGGTAGATGTCTAGAGTGTCACTTCCCTGGCTGTGAAGCACCAACTAAGCCCCCATGCGACCGAGCTCACCCACGTTCAAACACGAGGGAATTTTGCCCGCCCGGATCCGGACTCAATGGTTACAGCACAGCAAGGGGTGTGTGCTTGGGAGGGGGTGTGAACACCTCACTGCCCCAAAACACACACAAAAGCGAGAGGCTAGCCCGAGCTGTGGCGCACCACACATGTTGGTCGTCCGAGTCTCCCGGTTCTGCCGAAGCATTGGCCAGGACCCGTCACAAGCACATGTGTTGCACCACAGCAATAGGTTTGCAGCCCTCTACCAAAGGCACACACCACCCCACATCAGGAGGATTAACTGCCAGCTAGCCCACCACCACCGCATGCAAAGATCCGAGTCTCCTGGCTACCCATCCCAATGCGCATTGTGGTGGCGAGCAGGGAGTGTGATGTTGCAGGTAGCAAAAGCAGAGCCACGAGCCAAAGCCAGAAGCCAAAGCCCACTTTGAGCTCGCCCCGCACGCAATATACCACGTGAAGAGCACTCGCTCGCCCGGATTCGGACCCGGACTCGGACTCCACCTCGGCTACCCGACTCCTCCAACCCACTATCCCTACTATACTTTTGGAACCCCCCACAGCCCCCCCCCCGGGAGACACACGCTTTGGGCTTTCACCCCACAGCATGTATTAGTGTTCAGGCTTAGAATCTGGAAGTGGTGTGACTCCTGCAACATCAACAATGAAAAAGTGGTCATTTTTTCTTTTTTTTTTTTTTCGAGTGTCACAAGATGACTTCTAGGAGCGGATGACACGTGGCACACTGTTCATGCCATGTAACATGTGTCATTTTTAGTGGTTTTTCAAGGTAAGAGTCACGTGACTATAGCGCACGTGGTTTTGACCCTTTATCCTATGGTGATTTACCATAGGATAACACCACGAAGCAGAACCTAAACCTTCTTTGTGCCACATGACAGATGCCATGTGTCACATGCCACATGTCCATAGGAACCCGAGGTTCAGGGCTTTGGGCCACTGAACGAACGAATGGTGCCAAACTCCCAAGCATGGAGCCAAGGAGTGATGGAACCGAACCACGGAGCAACTCCCGAGCATACAGCCCAAGGAGCGAAGGGACAGGGGCCCGGAGCGACTTGGAACAGTCCTGGAGCAACCAGCATCCCAATGCTAGGACCAGCACGCAAAACGGAGCCAAACGAAGTCTGGCGCTATTTTAGCATACCGGTGGCCTAATGTGAGGATATGGGTACTCCACCAGCTAGCATGGAATGGAACTTGGGCTTAGACCCAAGCCGGACGCAGAACAAGGACAGGCACGCAAGCGGGAGCTAGACTATGCCTCAGGTTGGTCGGCCATGCCCGACCTACCCACTATCCCTACTAGACATTTGGAACCCCCCATAGCCCCCCCCCCCTTGAGGAACACACGCTTTGGGCTTTCACCCCAAGCCTCCCTTAGTATCAGGAGTTAGTCTCTGGGACAAGCTCGAAACTTACTAAATATGGAATGTCCTTAGAATGCGAATTTGGACACGGGACGAACACCATTGTGTTCAGGCCGATCTCTACATTCCGTAGATATGCCAAATGAGCAAATCTAGACACTTTGCATAAATAGCATTTGGGACCGAAATGAGACTAACACAAAGGGCATGATAGCGAGGGTGTTTGGCAGACACGGTAAGCTATCATCTAGCGATATTGAGGGACCAAGCTCAATATCGCGGGGGTTCCCAACACTAGCAAGTGCAAGCCAACATCATGAGTTTCTCATCACCATGTCAAGTCTGCTTGACTAAATGACAACTTAGGATTTCCTTCCTTAGTGCCTTTCCGGTCTAAGTGCACATGTGATGACCAGTTTCTCAACTAGCTTAGGCGGAGACTGATAACGAGCCCAGCAATACCGACCTCCTGCCATCATGGCAGTAAGAAAGAATATCCGAAAGGACTAGCTGACAGGTAACTTTCGATACCCGAAGTCACATTCACGACACTCTCCCCCCTTTGGGAAGATCGACATCCTCGTCGATGCATACTTGAGTCTAGAATACCGCCAAGGAAACAACTCCAGAAAAAGTTCACGGTACTCACACTATGTGAGAAATGCACCAACTTAAATGAGTTAGGAGGCAACCTCTTTGTCTAACGTGGATGCGCTACCAGCTCAGACACCTTCCGGCCGTTGCCGACAAGGAAATGACCAACAGAGTCAGCCACCCTTGCTGCTCTGGGAGTCACCCAGCTTACAAAAGTGTGATATGCCCCTGCCCGCAGGAACATAGAGAGAGAAGCCAGAGGCCCCAACCCTCCTAAGCAAAGAAACCAAACCCGTCGGTAAGGTTTAGATAGACTACTGTCAACAGGCAGTTAGAGTTGTTTACACGGTCACGCCCTTTCAACGAAATAAGGAACATCGACAGAGAGGCGGGTTATGTGACCAGTTGACAGTAGCTACCCCATGACTAGAGATTTCAACATGCACACAAAGTGCCGAAGCCAGTCTGCCTATACTGGCCCAAACTCAAAGATCAATAGATAGGGACTATATCAAAGTCATAAACAATGATATCTTAAAGATTTAATTATCAGTGAATAAAGCTTAGATGAGAACACAAATGTATTCCAAATAAGTTATCATCCGATAAACTAGTATTATAGTATAGGAACCATCAAGATCATCATAATTTGGCAAACATAAGAATGACCATCCAACAAAATTCAATAGCTAGTATATCATCAAGGATACTCAATGATGAAACTTAACTACCGAAGATAGTAGACAGTAAGCCAACAACTTACTAGAGAGAACTCAAAGAACACAAAGTATCATTGACTAACAAGCACAATGCTCGCGAATGTATCACCCAAAGGAAATAACATCCAAATCTATCAAAACTAACTCGAGCAACAATGAACAGAAGAGAATGAATGTGGTAAGACCAACAAACACTCATGCCTGCCAACTATCACAAAAGCCAATCGAAATAGATCTCAGCCAACAATACCAAGGAACTCAAGTTTGCCTAAGCAAGTGTTAGCAACATCCTACTAACATCTCAAACCCAAGAGACCAATCCAAAGCAAACCACAAAGAACATGTGGTATTGCAAAAAGCCAAAAGCCATCAAAGAGAACAACCAACTATCATGAAAAATCGTCAATTAGCCCATCAATGTAGTAATGTATAATGATCGTTGAAGAAAGAATCTACCATCCCGAAGAACAACAAATAATTCCAAACCAACAATAATCAAGCAAAACTTGTGATAAGGACAATCAACTACCCTAGATGATAGTCAATCATCACCAATGATTGCCAGATGCAAAGCCAACTTCAACATCGAAGCTAATGAGCCAAAATGCCTTCCCCAACAACTTCTAACAAATAGAACAATGAGCATAAAACTCAAAGAACCAAAGCTCGAAGAAGCCTATAGCCAAGTCTTGCTTAATAATGATCACGAGTCTCATAGAAGCTAACTTCAATGCTAAAGAAGAAATCGTGATGCAACTCACAATGTCTTCTTCAACACATCCATAAGCCAAACTTCATAATGCCAAAGCTAATGAAGAGCATTTCTGCATCAATCCAAAAGCTAAGCACAATGAAGCTATGCTTAACAAGTGATCATCAAACGATCCTCCATGAACCCATCTAGAACAAGACGTAACTCACTTCGTAACAAGTGCAAGACGAATCATCAATGATTGATATATCTCAATTCAAACCCAACAAGGATTCAATCACTTCAATATCAATCACTAACACATCATTTCGTAAAGTTAGCATAGTCCACGACTAAATCACTTTTCAAGGAAAAGTTAAAGCTCAACCCTCTACTAAATAATCTCATCTAGAACACAACTAACTCAACTTGCCACTCAGTTTGTTTGAACATTAACACAGTTGCTAACTAGCAAATGCATGAATGCCAACAACACAAAGCTAAAGCCAAATCATCAACATTTTTCATCAAGACTAATGAAACTTAATATCAATCCTAAGGAAAGACATTTCATTTCACTCAAGTCTCAATATCAACAATATCAATGACAAGGCATCACTTCAATGCCATCAACACCAGGACAAAACTAGAAGAAAGCAAGAGTGAATCACCACTCGAAGCTTTCCAGCAACCAAGCTAACCAAAGTCGAAGATACTATACTTAGTATCCGAGACCAATCCTTTAGCAAAACTCAGTGACAGATAACACATCATCAAGGAGTGAATCACTACATCCAAGACTCAATGAAATCTAACACTATAGACCAAAAGTAACCAAATGATATCGACAAAGGAATTGATATGCCAACATGGAAAAAACCATGTCAGCCTAATAACACAATCCTCTGCAACACCA